CCTAGTCATAAGAGAAAAAAATAACTCTGCATTATAGAATGATTTATTTTAAAAGACCAAATTCCGCTGCTTATCTTGTTAATGCGCGGTCTGTTCATGCAGCAATTTTGATCGGCCTTATCCATTACTAAGTACCACCTCTAAGAGCATAATCATAGGCATAGAGAAGAAAAACTTGTGACTTACTTTCGCGACATAGAATATCTTAGCTCATTTTTAGAACTTGTTTGTGTTGTTAGGATGATTCCGATGCACACCACCTGTAGGCAGTCCTCTGCTATAGGGGTTATGATCATTTCCAGCGTCAGAGCGTGAACTTGGTACATTCCCTACTCTTAGCCAACATCATCAGTGAGCCTTGTTCGCCTTGGTATTAAGCTGCAGCTCGTCAGAAAGGCAAGGAAAATCTATTCCTTGCCAGCTTTCTGTTGAACGGTTGTGGTATATCCATCTTTAATATAAATTAGTATCTTCCTCTCTAGCACAGCCTCTAATTTATCTACCATGACAGGGTGTGATAAGGGTAGACACAGGGATATGGGGTTAGTCAATGTAGCAGGACAGTAGGAGGAAAGATACGACAACAGTTCAGTCGAAGGTTGGCCAAGGAGTAAGCTTTACTTGGTTGTTTGAGGCTTAATGACTATACCGACGAAACGCTTGAAAATGTGTCAATTTCGAAGTCCGAAGCTGGAAATCATCATCACTGCTAAGACAGAGAATGCTAAACAAGGTACTTTATTTAAGATCGCGAAAACGAGCTCGTACAGATTCGCTCATTTTGATAACCTGATAATGTTCGCAGGACGAAATTAATTAATGTACCAACTACGTGTTCTTCTGGTGTCGTTAGCAAATCTAATTCAATTAACAGCCTTCTGACTGTGCAATCTCAGTGATTATATCCCGCCGGATTGGTGACAGCTCTAACCTCAGCATCGAATTATAACTCTTTGAAAACAGGCAAATGAAGTCAATCTAATCAGCCAAAATATTTTAGAAATGGTGTATTTGGTGCATTTCCTATTTCTAAATTCCGCATCATCCTCTCTCTTTCCTACTTTATATGCACAAGTTTAAGTCTATTCTCAGCTACCCAAAGGGCTGAAAGAGGTGAGTGTATTGGAAAAAAGGTGTGTGAAAATAGGAGCAAAGAAAGGAACAAATGAAGTGGGAAGAGGAGAGGAGGGTACTTACCCAAGTAATTGGGAGGAAGAGAAAACTCGCTCAACAACTTTTATAATTTCGTACAACTGGAACCTATTCAGTCAACGATCCGTTTCAGGAAGCATGCATTACGAAAGAGACAGAGAACACGGGGATAGACTTAATTTTGGGAATAAAAGGAGACTAGAAACAAGTAAAAATTCACATATTCTTGCTATTCATACCCGAGACACAAATTGAGCAGACTGCAATTTTGAGTAAACTAGACTTTGCGATGCAATTGTTCTATTCTCATTTTCATCTCATTTTCCCGCTTTCTACTAATACTTTAGAGGCAACCAACTGCCAGCATTCTCGGAACTCTCGTCCTTCAGCCAAAGTGTCGAAGTCCGGGAATTAAGATCTAGTCTGGAGGAAGCAGATGCCAAAGTGCTTTGCGTTCATCGCGATGACCTTTCAGAAGAGAGCATTGAAGAGGGCGATACAAGCCCTACTGTCTGCATTTCCAACAGGCCAGTGGGTGGCTGCAATGATGAGAAAGAAGCTTTCAATGGAAGCCTTCCAGGAGACAAGCCAAAGACGATAGTCTCTTCGCCACAGCAGTATCTGGAGGCAACAACGTTTGCTGCGGCAAAGTCCAACTGCCAGTTGTTGTCTTTTCTCGGCGAGGAGGGCTCTACCATTCCAAGGATGATGCAAATTCTGGTAAGACCATTTGCAAAGAAAAAAATAGGCTTGAAGGATATAACAATAAATCGACGAAAGCCTTTCATACTTTTCTGAGATATTAATACTGTTGTTCTATGTGCATGAACTTGATGCATAACTTCTAGACTCATCTCATTAGAAGACTTTCCTATGGAATTTATGCAAACGCAGTCTTTGGGACAGCGTGGAATAAAGTGGCAGCCAGTAAAATTGTGACGGATTAGGTATTCCAGATAATTTATGGAATAGATGTAAGATGGCGTATGGCTTTATTTCGTTGCAGCCTCCTTTAATTTCAGACTTGGTTCGACTCGGCTTTCGCAGCCAAACTCGATTTACGGACAAACTTTCTTGAATTTCACACTCACTTCATCTTATTTATGTCACTATTGTCAATCATTTATCAAAAATCGCACATTGGAAGAGCACGTTCTCATCTGCCGCGCCGATAGTGTTTTATACACTTTCAATACTTTCTTGGAGGTCTATCTATACACGTTACCTATTTATGCAAGAAAGCAAACTGATTCTGCGAAATAATTTCTAAGCCCCATTGCACACTTTATTGTGGATTTAATCTCTATTATTTCCCCTAAATCCATACACAAATAATGCATTTCGACAGCAATCAGATTTCTGATATATGAACCCTATCCTGCTTACATAGCTTAGCTGAAGAAACGACTAATAGGTGCATAGCACATAGTGAAAGGGTTAATAGTTTGACAATTTTATAGCATTAATCTCAGCCTATTTTCCCTAAAGGCTTTCTTGCCCGAACTATGAGAAAGCTGTGGATTCCCCTATTATTCCTTTCAGCATCCCAAATTTTGCTCGAAACCGGGCCATGTGCGGTAATCAGTTACCTCTGGCCCACAGACAGGGGATCACAGTGCGGATTTTATGTTTAAATCAAGAGAGACCTCCCCAATTCACATTTATGTTGTGGAAAGAACTCTTGCTGGTCACTAAAATCAAAGATACTACTACATAGTTAGGCTCTTGGAAGCAGGGCTAATAAAATTTACTGAAATAGTGATTCCTACTAGTCACTTTAATGTAGAAGGTACAATTGTTAGTACTTTAATCAACTTAACTGACCTAAGGCATCAAGAGTTACTGCTATGGATTTAATAAAATTTTCTAAACCTACTCATTTAGTTTATAGTAGTGTCGTCGAATGTGATGAAGAATACAAGTGTGACGTGCTCAAAGAAAGTAAGTTTCAACTTTCAATTAATCATGAATAAGAAGTCCAGTATCTCAAGGTCGTATAAAGTGATAAAGTACTGCTAATTGAACTTTCCAACAATCACATGAATAGGCCTCACAAGCTATTGAATTTCATTTTGTCTTGCTTCCCAAAAGGTATTCTTAGCCTAACTAAACTCAATTACAATTTCCACTTTGCCTGGATCTCATCAACACGCCTAGTTTGAATCGAAATCTTATGCAAGATTTACTGATAGTCTAAGAGCCTACTTTATATCAATACAGGTAGCGCAGTCAATTGTAATGACAATCGATGTTCTAGCTATAAAATGTGATACGAGAGGCTTCGTAATGCCTATTCATATTATTGCGTAAAAATTGAACTGAGTCCTTAAGAGCCTTCTGAGTACTACGGTAACTAGAACTATCATACAATTTTTGTTACATCGGCACTATTACAAATCGCCCTCCTTGTCTTAAAAGTGCCTAGAAGACACCCGTTGCCGTTTGGCGGCATGGTTTCGTATCTTATTACGAGTGCTGATGGGCTGACAAAGGGGAATCGGGACAGCAGCCTAACCCGGAAGAGAAAGCCTTTTGAACGTTAGGATAAGCGAAATTTAATTACCTTCTGATACTTTAGTGAGCTAACTTATTTTTGTGCAACTAAGTGTCATAGTATGACAAGGTTACAACCACTTGTTTAATGGTGGTTGCTCTAGATTTCCCTCGTGAACTATGAACTGTGTGGCTCAAATGCAGGTGGCAAATGTGTAGCATTTTGTTGAATATCAGATCGGCTAAACTCTATCGGTACTTTCTTGTAGACAGTTTGGAAATGAGCCCTATCAGCCTTTACATCAAGCTAAACGACCTAAGTGGACTTGAGCAAGTATAAAAGCTCTACCGATACTTTGGAAATCTACCCATTCGGCGTGTAGATTCCTGAAAGCTTGGACAAACTGATCTGGCAAATCGAGATGGAGGAGAGTCAGGATAAACAAGTAGCCGTGAGAAAGACCCAGTAAATTTACCAAAATGAGCACGCCTCTAGATTAGTGAACTGTAATAAATCAGAAGTTGTTATAGGGTGGGAGTGAGATAAGAGGCTAGGGAGTAGGTAGACGTGCTATGACAGAAAGAAGAGTGATCGCACAACCATTGGATAGAAAGTTGGTAACGCGATCGAATTAGGTTGATCTTCGAGGAGTTGTCGCTTGTTGATGATAATGACATGTCTTAGTGTCGATGCCGAGTACTTGGCCGGCGAAGCGTCCGAGAATGTATCAAGTCCACGGTCCAACTCTGGAAATTATCCTAATTAATATCTCAGAGGACTTCGGACAAGGTACGTCCTACTTAGTTTCTATGATAACACGACTAAGTTGCGAAAACGAGGTCAGACCATTTTAATCTGAATTAAAACTCCATTCTAGGCAAATGTTCACAATCCGATCAGATCAAACACGGATTCAGCTCAGTTTATGGCAAAATATCCCTATTTTTCGTATATAAGTAGACTTTCTAGACTGCAAGTAAATCAGTACTATGAGATGTATTCACCCTATTCCGTTTAAGGTTATGAAGGAGTAGAGCTCATATCATTGTGAGAAAAGTCTACTAACATTCCTTCATCACCTTAAACGAAATAGGGTGAATACCTCTCATAAAATATCCATACACTCTTGGTTAAAGTG